GCCACTTGGTTCCAAAACACCTTTAGTCACCATAATTTTAATAACTTTTTGAGCAGTTGCCAGTTTAATTTTCAGTGCGTGAAAATTGGAGGTAAATTATTTATTACTTCCAGCAAATGTCTTTCACAATTTTATTTAATTTTTTTTTTCATCTTTTTTAATGGGTCATAAAATGGCAGCCTTTTATTGGATGCTCATAAAGTAAGGAGCAAATGAATACTTTGCAAATAGGTTACTGTGGATTGAAATGTCAGCTGTATTTCACAGGGTATGAAAGTCTTCAGGCCAGAGCTGCAGTGACATATGGCAGCGGGCCACGTTCCTCTCCTGTAACAATAAAGCAGCAGTGGGCATAAAGGAGAGGAGGAATTGCGATTGTTGGGCCTGCTCGAGTCACATTTTTTGGTACATGATTTACTAGCACGGCTAGCGGGCCGTGACTGATGCGGTTTAAAATTGCAAGCGTTGTGGGTAACTTTGGGCACAAATAAGATCATTTTTTAAAAGCTCTTTTCAGACCGAGTTTCCCCAGAGTTGGTTCCCATCCAAAAAAGGGATACTTCACAGACAAAGTATAGGCATATCTCTTCCACATTGAGCGAGGGCTATCACCTGTAAATAAACCCCCAGTTTTTCCTGTTACAGTGAAATAGCTTTAAAAGTATGGACCCCTGGAAAATGGCACATCGGACCCGTGGTCTGTAAAAAGCACTTGAACTTGTGACTGGCTGCACTGCACAGCCCGTTAATTGCACGTGCTCATTAGCTCCAGTTTGCCACCTCTGATTCCACTTGGCTCAAGCGCTGTGTCCGAAGTGGTCGAAAGAGCGGAGCACCCTGGGTGAGAGGCTCCGAGGACAGGGTTTGGCTCTGCTGCGCTTCTGAGGGTGAGGAACAGCCGCAGTGTCACCGCCTGGCTCCTGGTGTTCTGCCTGCGGCTGCTCCAGGGCCTGGCTCTTTGTGCATGGAGCCAGTGGCCCCAGGGATCAGAGCCTCTGGTTGTGACCCCTGGTCTGCTCCCCTTCCCGCAGGCAAGGGTGTCACACAGCTTGGGCTGCCCCAGCAGCGTCGACATTTACAGGTCAGTGTTCTTTGTGGGTTTTATCGAGGTTGACCTGAGGAGATGGTGACTCTGTTTTGTGGCAGCTCTCAGGAGTTCAGCCCTCGTTTGGGTCTGTGCTGGTACAAACCCCGTATCCCTCTTGCTGGCCTGGGCACTAACAGGGCTATGTGACAAGTCCTGGTGTACTCCAGGGGTGCTCTGGCTCCCTGCACAGCTGTGGTGGTGGGGTGTGAGCACAGCGAGGGGTGTAATGTAAACGTAATCACCTCCGAGTGTCATTTTCTTTTCCAAATATTTGCAGTTTCCGCAGAGTGCTGAGCTAAAGGCACCCTCCTGAGCAGGTAGTAAACACTGGATGTATTTATGAATAGGGCTTTCTCTTGGACATTCATGAATGAGTGTGTAGAAGAAATATGGTGCCTTGTTTTTGGAACTCCCAAATTTGAAGGGGTGGTGCTTGTATGAGTCAGAGTTGCACATAGCCCATCTAACAGGTGGATGCCACAGACATGAAAAAACGCTTTTCTTATACCCTACAGACATGACAATTTCAGGGAAGAAGTGATTTTGTATGTTGACAGGTTCATCCTTTTGAAGATGAGATAATTATCTGTGTGAGTTCACTCTGTGGCGTCTGGAAGTGAACGACTGTGATCAACTCCTACGAAAACCTCAAAAGGCTGCCCCTGCAGCGGTGTATCAGAGTGGGAGTTGATACAGAGACCGGTTGTTCTTCCGGGCCCGGATCTGCCGCGATGGCTGATGTGCTCAGTGAGCCTGCTGCTCGGGATCTTTGTCACCAGCTGACAGCCAGGGGTTGGGGGACGTGGAGCTTGACAGCAGCCACGCAGCACAGGGACCCAAACCGCTCCCTGCTGTCACTGGGAGTCACAGCTTTGGGTCCTGCTGTCAGTGAGGCACGGGTGCTACCCCTGCCCTTTTCTGGGGCCTGCTGCAGTGCTGCTGTGCACGGACACTGCTGGAGTGCAGGGACGCTGCTGGAGTGCAGGGACTCTGCTGGTGTATAGGGACAGTGCTGGTGTATAGGGACACTGCTGGTGTATAGGGACAGTGCTGGTGTGCAGGGACGCTGCTGGTGTATAGGGACAGTGCTGGTGTATAGGGACACTGCTGGTGTATAGGGACACTGCTGGTGTGCAGGGACACTGCTGGTGTATAGAGACAGTGCTGGTGTATAGGGACAGTGCTGGTGTGCAGGGACAGTGCTGGTGTATAGGGACAGTGCTGGTGTATAGGGACACTGCTGGTGTATAGGGACAGTGCTGGAGTGCAGGGACAGCACTGGTGCATAGGGACAGTGCTGGTGTGCAGGGACACTGCTGGTGTATAGGGACAGTGCTGGTGTGCATGGACACTGCTGGTGTGCACGGACACTGCTGATGTATAGGGACACTGCTGATGTATAGGGACACTGCTGGTGTATAGGGACACTGCTGGTGTATAGGGACACTGCTGGTGTATAGGGACAGTGCTGTTGTGCAGGGACAGCACTGGTGCATAGGGACAGTGCTGGTGTGCAGGGACACTGCTGGTGTATAAGGACAGTGCTGGTGTATAGGGACAGTGCTGGTGCATAGGGACACTGCTGGTGTATAGGGACACTGCTGGTGTATAGGGACAGTGCTGGAGTGCAGGGACACTGCTGGTGTATAGGGACAGTGCTGGTGTGCAGGGACAGTGCTGGTGTATAAGGACACTGCTGGTGTGCAGGGAGAGTGCTGGTGTGCAGGGACAGTGCTGGTGTATAGGGACACTGCTGTATGTTGAGAATTCCAATTTGATTTTTTAAAAAAACTGAAATGGAGAAGCAGCGAGTGTCTGACAGCAGTGTGGAAATCCGACGCCAGCAGCTGGCACCAGCTGCAGTCAGATGTCAGTGGGCACATCCAGCCGCTGTCCCTGCTGCTCAGGCAGAGTCATTTCTGATCTCGGCGGGAGCTTTGCCCCACAGGAGACTGCAGAAGTGGCTCCAAAGAACGATAAAAGAGCTGAGGAAAACCTAAGATGTATTTAGACACAGTTAAAGTACGACTGCAAAGACAGTCAGTGCAGGAGCTATATTAGGATTTAGGCTCTTAAAGAACATGATACGGTCATTTAAAATGAAAATTACTTGGTGTACTACATTTGGGTGCAGTGCAGTTGGAAGGGTTCTTAGGCGGCTTCAGGCCAAGCCCCGTAATCCCAGTTATGGCATCCGTCAGTGGGAAGGCACCCACCAGTGCTTAGGGAAGCTCAGACAGAGCAGAAAGGCCCAAGAGCTTTAATGTCCGGCAAACACAACCACAACAAATGCCTTTTCTTGGCAGCCACGGTCAGAACTTGGTGTGGAGCCCGTGGCGTTTCTCTGAACCGTGCTCGAAAAAGACAGGGCTGGCAGGGGAAATGAGTCACTAGGAGCTTCACCTTTTCTCCTTGAATTCGTGCCACTGGAAAGCTGCCATCCAAAAATACCTGTGTGCTGTGGATTCCTTGGCGTCTGTGTGCCCAGTTGCTTCCAGTTGCACCCGCACAGCCGCAGTCAGTGCAGTCCGTGCACGGCCAGGGCACAAGGGAAAGGAGCTGCAGGGAAGGGCCCCGGACAGGAGGAGCCCCTGTGAGGTGTTTACGATGGCATATCTCCAGCAGGGTTACGTTTGAACGCGGGCGTTTCTCCGGGACACCCGTGAGGACCTGCGCTGTGTCAGCACACACCAAACCCTGCCAACACGACCAGGCGCGCGGTGAAACCCTCGCCCCGCGACGCCAGCAGCACCGTCCTGCCGGGCGGGCAAGCAGAGCTGCCACGCTGCCACGGCCACGGCATTGCTCAGTAAACTGGCAAACAGGGAAAATAATGAATAATAATAAACATCACACTTTAAAAAGTCATCGCTAGCAGAAGTCCTGGTGCAGTTTGCTTTAATGACTTGGGAGGGAACTGGTTTTTTCTTTATTTCTTATCTGTTCTGATTCAGTTATTCCAGTGATAATTAGAAGTAAATTAGAGTTATTCTTCCTGTCAGATCAATTATTCATAATACAGACCATTTAAAAATGAGTTTAGCAGAAGCAACTTACTTCATTTTTACTGAAACTGAAATAGAAATTATCCAAATTAGTTAAAATAGCTTTGAACCCCATATTGACTAAAGCACTTGTGCCAGAATAAGAATTCATGACATAGAAGAACGGTATAAATGATTAATCATGTTCGTTCGTGGATATCTATATTTTTATTTAATTACATCTATGCCTAACATAAACTGTCTGAATCTCGGGAATCCCAGCCAGAGAAGCTGAAGAGTCTTCTTCTGTTTAACATTCACCATGTGTTGTTTTCTTCTAGGGTTAATTTGTAGGATGCAAACCACATACTATTTGTGTGCAGTGTTTATGTACTATTTATAGACAGCCTTGACCATTTATAATTATCCGACATTTTTATCCATAATGTCTGCGTACCACTAAAGGAATGTTTATGGAGCAGACAAAACGACGACGTTTTTACAGCTGAACTCCAGTTTATGTCATGTAAAACTTTTTGCGGCATTTTATGCTGCACAGAATAGAGGGATTCTCTATAGCTCTCTATAAAATTATTCCCAAATAGTCATCAACAGTACCACGGGAGACTGCAGATGTTTAATGCAGTTCATTTTAGGCAGCGTAAATGGAGGAAAAGCAAGCTCGGTGTGACATGACCAGAAGGTGTTTTGCGGAAGCCTAAGGCCCAGCCCTGTCAGAGCTGCGTGTCTCGAGCACCCAGCACCCACCAGCGGGTTCTGAGCGATGCCCCAAAGCCCTGGTGTTAGTGCTGGGTTCCTGGCGGTTACGTCCCTCGTCCTCCGTGGGAGCCTCTCTTCAGGAGTCCCCACAGCAGTGTCTGAGCTGGCCGCTGCTTTACGGCTGCTGACTTTGTCTGCTTTCTTTTCAGAACCCTGGAAGTTCTGGTGAGCTTGAACGAGGGGCAGTCTTTCATGTCCAGCTCACTGACAATCACGGCTTCAGAGTGTGTAAGTGGACAGCGAACCATTCGGTTGAACTCCCCAGATCCTGCTCCTCTTTCGGTTTTACCATTTCATCACCTCACAGAACCTCTGTGCAGGGCGAGTCCCGGAGGATGTTCAGAATGCACTAAATACACCTCTGCAGACACATAAAGAATATGTGTAACTTTAAAATGCATGATTTCTTAATAGGTAGGTGCATACACACACACACATATATACACATACATATAAGTCCTAGGTCGCTTTCTCTGTGTTTTGAGACATACTTAGACTCTGTTTTGTAACTCCAGTACACACAACAAAGATTTCAGCAGTTTTGGATTCCCCGATGATGTGCATGTCTGGGGTTACAGACGGGAGTTTTCCTGCAGTTACATTAAAACATCCTCTTACTTCTTCCCACTAAGGTGGCAAACAGCTTTATTTTAGGAACATCTTTTGCAAGATTCCGTGTAAGTGAAGTATTACTGTGTGCATCATGTCAGACTCCCAGATGATCACCAAAGCCCTCTCTGGTGTGTTGGTCTCTGCTGTGGCAGCTCCTGGTCCTCATTCAGAGCACACACAGGGGTCCCTGCATGGGGACAGCCCTGGAACCCTCCTCCTCTGCCAGGCTCCCTCAGCTGTGCCCTGACGTCCCTGCGGTCGCTGTGTGCTCCTGGTCTGTGCTATGTTTTTATCACAGGTCTATACAAAAGAGTTATAAACCACAGACTCAACCACTCAGTGACCTCTTGTATGGGCCTGGTGTGGCATGGCGTGGGTTAAATACCTCAAAGCAGGTGATTCTCAGGAGTGACCCCCCCAGTGGCAGGAATGGCCGTTCTTGAGAGCATGTCCAGGTCTACCCAGGAGAGGGGCGTCATGTCCTGCTGAGTGCCCTATGGCCTGGTACAGGCAAGGGGTGGGAGGGAAGAGTTTAAACAGCCCCACTTAAGCCTGAGACGGTGTGATCACCCACCATCTTCCAGCCTGGACAAGACAAAGAAACTGCTGGTGACCGTCCCTCACCTTTTCTACTTCTCTGATAACTCTTTCTTTCTTTTCTCTCCTTTTTCTCATTTTCTTGTTCTCTTTTCCTTTTTGCGGGCTGTAGCTGGCAGGTTTGGTTTCGGGTTGCAGTGTTAAGCTAAGTTCTCTCGGTTCTGCTAGTCAAATTGGTACAGTGTTGCTAAGTTGCACCCTGTTCCCGTAATTTTGGGGCCATTTCGGTTTCTTGTCGGTATTCTGTTGCCCACGGGTTGTTGGAAGGGTTGAATCCAGTGTTTTTTTCAAGGCATGTATCTTATCTAGTAAAAACATTGCTTACACCCTCCTTCTGAGTGATTTGTATCGCTCTGTCGTGGTGCCGGGATAAAAGAGCTCACTTTTTAAAGCGGGCCGTGACACCTCTAACTTAACAGATAAGATTTCTGTTCTCACATTTCTGCTGCCTGTTGAGTTATTCTGTCTTGTGTAATACACAGGCAGGACAGTTAAAATTCTTGCAGTTAGACACAAGACCACGTCAGGATGGAGGTGATTGAAACTGCGGTGCTTGGATACCGTGTTTCTTTAAATTGGTCTCATTTGAAGTGTGACTTCAGTGCAGCTTTCCTGTCAGGCACAGAAGCACACAGAACAGAACCTTCTGCTCATCAGCGTGGATTTTTCCAGGAGTGCTTTTGTTGCTTGTAGTTAATTACCCGAAAGGAAATTTAAAAAATATTTTTTCCTTCTATTCTTTTTAAAACTAAATACTTGGGTAACTGCAGTAATCAAAGCCATCTCAGTTCAGACTTTCAGCGTCAGGAGAAAGCCTGAATGAACTGAGAGCTAAAGAAACACGCACCGCCCAACTGGCATTTCTCTGTTGAAAGGCCTCTGTCACTCAGCAGCACTTCAGTCTTACACCAGAGCATGACTGCGCAGCCTCTCGGTGTGATAGCTGACCGACACTGCAGTCACAGCAGGCTGCTGGAGATAACAGTGTGTCCTGGTCCTTTCAGAGAGACACACACGTTAGTTCTGTCCCCATAAACCCTAAAAATGGCTCAGACTGCACACACTGGCAGGAGCAGATCACACCCCATCGCTGGGTGAGGTTGTCTTCCCTCTGCTGCGCTCCTGCGCTGCTGCTCTGCGGTCAGAAGTTCTTGCTAACAGGAAGCAGAACGGGCACAGATGTGCACTGACAGGAAAAGCAGCAGCACTTCTGATCACCCTTTTTTTGTTTGTTTTTGCCTCTCGTACGTGTTGCAGCAAAGACGGCTCCGTAGCAGGAGAACTGCTGTTTCCATAGTAGCAGATGGCAACTGCAAGAAATGGGTCAGTGCTAGAGTTGTTGCAGTAATTCGGAGAGCTGAGCAGCTGATGGCTGGTTGCTACAGAGGAGCTGCAAGTCCCAGCCTCCGCCAGGAAACACCCATTGCTGCACTGACAACACAACCCACAGTGCACACAGGCACTGAGCATGCATTGTACCCGTTTCTCAGACATGTGGGCCACACTGCACCTACACATACTTTGGATAAAGCTCTGCCTCACCTTGCGTTTGCTCTGATGTATCTCCAGTACAGCTTTTCTCACTTTGGCAGCATTACTCACGCTGTGCTCCAACCCTAGCGATTCCCTGGACATCCCTCCTTTCCTTCGTCCCCACCTGAAATCTGAGCAACGTCTGTTTCTCTAAGGTCTCTGTTGCATTTTTTCAGCGTTGCTCTAAATCAGCACAGAATACCAAGTGTAAGAATAAAAGTACCCACAGGATGTGGGTTTGACGTGCTGGGAGATGGGCTGCTCGTTTCTTCATTATAAGCAGTATAAGAAGACAAGCAGAGGGAAGACAATTTCACTCATTCAGAGCTTCTTAGGATGGTGGCTTCAGGTTGAAGTAGCACTGCTACAGGGACTGAGTGTGCTGTAGAACAGTGCGAGTGCCCCAGGTGCATGAGCCATAGCATCAAAGCCTGAATATATGAACGTATGTGTTATTAGTCATGATCCCTTAGGATTCCACCTGCCCCCAGTCCACAGAGTGCTGTGTCCTCAACCGCAGACCTAGGAGGAAACTCTCCCGTCAGTGTCTCACAGCTCATTTCTTAGCAGCTCAGGTACCTTTTCTTTCCTTCAAATCAGGCCTCACTCTTCTCTCAAGGACATCAGCTCTGCATCAAAAGGAGCCCAGTGACTTCAGCAGAAATAACCCTGGCTTGCACTGGGGCAGATTTGGCCTGTTACCCGTGACTGCACACCTTAATTTGAACTTGGGTTTACAGTAATGCACAACTGAGTAACTGACAGAAAAGTTTTGTCATTTAGTAAGTCCGTCAGTACTGCTGTGACCAGCATGCCCTGGTCCCTTGGAACACTGCAGACTTGCAGGCCCGGAATATGTAGGGGATGAGACACATGAATAGCATCACACCACCCCCCTTTTCAGTGTGGTGCATCCGTCACTGCAACACTTGGCTCCTCCT